TTCCTTTATAAGGCTTCTTACTTGTATCTGAATTTATCAGTTAATTACAACATAAAATGCTAAGACGGAGTTATTAAGTCATTATAAACTCGAAATCTTGTGATATATTGTTCAGATTTCAATATCATCATTTTGTCGGAGGTTCATCCTATGCAATATTCATGAACTTTAATTCAAAATCTATGAGAAAATATACAAACAAAATGAATTTTGGTGTTTGTCATATTTTACTAGTATAAGGACTAATATTTGAACACTGAAACTTGCAGAGCTTTCATGTTGATAAAACAACTGGGAAGAAATGTTATATGATTGGACCAATGAAACTTATAATTAATGGTTGGAAATTAGAATTTGGGGATAATTTTTTAAGGAAATTACCTCATGCAGACTCCAGGTATCATCATTCATCGTATCTTTCGCTTTTAAATTTAATATGGAAATTGCATTTTGATAGGGGGAAATATCTATTATATGATGTGCAGATTCTCAGTGGTGGCAGAACTTAAATATGTTTGGATACATGATATCCGAGGGAAGATCGATACACAAATGTTATCCCCGAAGACTCGTTATGCAGCTTATTTGGTATATAGATCAGAGAGGTCTTACAAGGACCTTGTACCAGCGAAAGGGATCATCAAGTTTGTTAATCTTGATGAAGATCATGATGCCGAAAGGCGAGCTACTACTTTGAGCCTTCAACAAGGGTTGGTGAGTAGACCCGATGGATGGATGGAAGTACAATTGGGAATGTTTTACAATGATCTAGGAGAAAATGGCCCGGTAGAGGCACGGCTGTTGAAAGAGGATGCACGGCCGTTGAAACGGGATCAACAAAATATGAAACACCTTGTTGTTGAAGGAATTGAGTTTCGACCTGCTACAAATGCAAAAGAAAATGTGAAAAACCGAAGAAATGGGATCTTTTCAAAATTAAGGATTTCTGGATAATATAGCCCTTTGATTTGCTTTCCTTGTCCATTCTTTGATATGCATGTGCAATGACAGAGAAGAATTAAGTGTTGTTTTTCAAAGAAACAAAGTGAAGATTTTTGAGCAAATTGTTATGTAAATATTATAGGGTTCGAGTATAGGGAATAAACAATACGACTATCACAAGTCCATTGATTTCATGAAGACTGAGAAAGGATC